GGAGCTACTTTCTCTTATTTAATGGTAGAGGCCTTCTTATAAATGTGTGGAAAACAGTGATGGAGAGTATGAGAGATCAATGTGAAGCTCTCATACTGAGTGATTCTCAAATCAATTGTTACAGAGTCCACAAAGAAGACCAGGCGACTGATATGAAGGCGTGGGAACGCAAGACTATTCAGTCGATGCGTGGCTTTATGATGAATCATTCGGTCGTTCTACGTCATGTGGCTACTACGTGGAATTCCGCTGATGGTATTACCCGTGGTACCTTCCCTAATAAGGTTAGTGAAGATATGGTCAAGGCAACGGCCGCATGGTGGAAGACCGATGATTTCACACTCGAAGCCCCTTGGGGCATGTCAGTGGACTTCGACTTTGAACTGGTTGACGAAGGTATTATCAGTGATGCTAAGGAAGAGGCCGCTGATGAGACTGCGGATCCCGTAAACCGGGTGGCTAAGCTGACGCTTGAGAGTGCTGATGGCTCTTTGGACCTCAGTATTAGGAAGCATCAGGATTTACTACGCCGACTTAGAAGATGGCAAGCGAAGGCTCTGAAGAAGGCGTACCAAGAACCCTCATGGGAAGAAGCTTGGTTGAGTCTTTTATTATGGAAGCAGTCTTCTTCGAAGGAGCTTTCATTAATTAAGTCAGTCATCTTGGGTACCACCGACGCTGAGGGTAAGCACAAGGTAAGTGCGAACACCCAGCGTAGGTGGAAACTATCTTACGAGGTAGATGAGGTTACTAAGATTCTGCATCGCAAGATTCGCCAAGATAACTCGGGAAGGGTTAGGCGACAAGTGGCTATACCTAATGATGATAAGTTGGTGCCTTTATTGATTAAGAAATATCATCAAGATAGAGCCCATGTTGGTATATCTGGTACACTGCAAGCCATGTTGAAGGTGGTTTGGTGGAAAGATATACGTAAGAATGTACGAGACTATGTGAGGTCCTGTCAAGTATGCCAGTTGGTACGTGGCCGCAAATGCCATCCTCAGGATCCTGGGTGGATTCACAGTGTCTTGCAGCCATGGCATTTAGTGGGAATTGATATAACTGGTCCGTACATTGAAAGTGAAGAAGGGTATAGGTATTTGCTTACAATGACATGCCTCTACTCACGGTATGTAGTGGCGGTTCCTTTGAAGCAGATTACAGCTGATAGTGTGTTGAAGGCATTGG